CAGTGTACAATTGCAATGAATAGTAACTAATTTTTCACAGTGTTGTTCACAGTGTTGGTCAGTATTTGAGGTGAATCTTTTTCTAACCAGATCTATGTAGAAAAAAAAAAAAAACTTCACTTTAAAAAAAAAAAAAAACTGTCAGATCGCTACCTTGTTTTTCACAAGTTCATAAATTCTGTTTCAAGCCCAGGGATACTTGAGACAAATAGATGTTACTACGGCATTTAGAAAACAGCCACAAAGCTGCCACCGTTTTCAATGCTTCCTTACTTGCATTCGCTCCGCATCGGGTGATGGTCAGTCCTGATGGGGTACCTTCACACAGATGTGTTTTCTTTCACTGTCGGGCGTGCTACAATGACTTCACCCACGTTACCACCTCTACCACCGCTTTATCCCACATGGAACAGCATGTGGGATATTATTATTGTATATCAAACTCTTTGTTGTTGTTTTATTGTGAGTGCTCATATTTACAATGTTCACAAATGACCCATGAAAATAGCTTTATTTTCTTCACTATCTAGCAAAGGAAATGCTTTGATCTATGTTATCCAACTGATAAAAAGACCAGGAGTGTTATAACTATTGTTTGAATGGCCAAAGGATCATAACGGAAGAGGGTAGGCTCATAAGAAAGCTTGAGCTTGTGCTCCATAATATAAGTGACTTTTCAAAGCTCTGCAGAAATGATGTGTTGGTGAGCTGCAGAGATATTTCGGAAATAAGGAACTGTACTTTCTAATCTATCTTTCCTACAGTTGTCTTATCTTTTTGCTCCACATGCTCAAAAAGATAACCAGAGGCCCGTGCAACAGAGGGTAGACTTGAGAAACAAAGACAAGTCCTGGAATTCTTTAACGATTAATTTGGGAAGATATTCAGACCCATAAAGATAAATTTAGCCAGCTGCACATTTGTTTTTTTCTTGCTGATCTACACTTCTTTGAATTTGATTCCATCTGAGCATCTTAGTTAGTTGTTCCAGGCCACACTTTCCCCTCAGTTATACCTTCAAAATTACTTTATTTTGTAATACAGTCCCCACTTTTCCACACAGGGAACTTGAAGGAGACACATAACTGACTTTCTTCTTGCAATGGCTCTGGTGTTTTATGATTCCTGTTACTTGGTATTTTCATTGAAAACAGTAATTCTGAGTACCTACTTCAAGGTATTGCTTAAAGTTTTGACTTTATATTTATGTGTCTACATATCTACTTTCTTTTTTATCCATTTGACTCCTTAGCCATTCATTTTTCTTCAGTGCCTGCCACCAGATCCAAAAGTACCATTTCTGATCCTACTCTTTGATTTTCATCCTTTTATTGTGTGGGAATACCCTCTGTATGCTGTGATTACTACTGGTTAATAAAGGAACTGTTTTTGATCCTATGACAGGAAGAACAGAATTAAGCGGGGAAAGCTAGGATGTATGCTTGGAGAAAGAAGGGTGGAGTTGGGGCGAAGCCATGGAGCCTCAGGAGACAAATGCTGGAAACTGTAGCTGGTAAGCCATAGCCTCATGGCAATACACAGATTACTAGAAATGGGTTGAACTAAACTGTAAGAGTTAGCTAATAAGAAGTTAGAGCTAATGGGCCAAGCAGTGATTTAATTAATACAGTTTCTGTGTGGTTATTTAGGAGCTACAAATAATAGCCAGGAACCAACAAGTGGCTTCCTCCTACACTTTTATTTATTGTTTTGTAAATGGCAAAATGATCATTGAGAACCTAAAAGTCATGACTAACTACTAACCTTCCACTTCTTTTCTATTTGTTACATAATCAATACCTCACTTAAGTATTTTTCCCCAAACCTTATCCTCTGCAAAACAGGACCCCAACATTCCATTCTCTGACTTCCTGACCCAAGGATCAAGATAGATGAAAGATTTTCCAAATTTTATCACTTACTTGATCCTCATATCCAAAGTGTAGAATACACCTTGCCTTTTCAATTTCATTCATTTCTTTTAAAATACTATTTTGTCTTATAAACTAGCTCACACAGTAACAGACTTATAAATGGGGTATGCATACTACTTCATTTTGATTGATCCATCCTGCCTCAACACCTAAATATCAATTATCAACTTACTTTTATTTTAAGCAAGGAGTACCAGCAATTCTCCCTTCCCCTTTCCTCTCAAGGCATTGCTAGATTTCACTTGCATTTAGTTTCCTAGCCAATTTCCTTCATGATTTATCTATCCCTTTACCCAATAACTTCATCCAGAAACCACTAGTATTTACTTTATTTGCTTGTTTTTGAGGTTCTGGGTTTTAACTGAGGATTTACTACATGCTAAGAAGTACTGAGTCACTGAACTTTATCCCCAGGAAATTGCTAATAACTTCAAAATGTTCTTTGTTTGCGTTATTTGCCTACTTAATAATCCCTGTAGCTGTCTTTATTCAATGAGTAATTTAAAAGTTCTTCGTAATTCTTATTCCTAACCATTCAATTTTACTTTCCTCTTGTTTACAGTTGACAAAATGATTTGTTCTGAAAAGTTTCTTTGCAAAAAAAAAAAAAGAATTTTATATCTTTGTTTTTCTGCTGCTTTATTAGGCAATAAGCATTTATCTTGTATAAATATTTATTTATGTAAATGCTTATGGAACATTCCACAAATTAATTTTGAGGAACTTAAAATAGAGTTACTAAAAGACTAAAGTTGCTACAAACAGTTTTCAATGAAAAATCTGTGTTTTTTGAGATATGCTTTTTACATAGATTAACCTATTATTTCCTAATTAATCTCTGTTCTAAAGAGGGGGAAGTAAAATCCATCTGTCTCTTTAGAACTCTGTAGGGTTTAAATAAAATGATTTAGTTGGCAGACTATTTGGATATGCCATCAGTGATATCTATATTACTATTTAAGAGTCTACCATCTTCCAATGCTAGGGTATTAAGAACTAGGTCAGAAAGATTTTATATCAGTCCTTTGGCAGAAATTGCTGGGGAAAAGAAACAGTAATCAAATACTTGTACAGCATCCATTTAATTTTGATCTATATTTTCTAAATAACAATGTCACAAAACATTATCATATTTTATTTATTTATTTATAATTATTTTTATTTTTTCAAGACAGGATCTCAATATATAGCTTTGGCTGTCCTGGAATTTACTCTGTCGATCAGTCTGGCCAACAGCTCACAGAGATCCTCCTGCCTCTGCCTGCCAAGTGCTGGGATTAAGGGCATAGATATTATCATTTTTCTACCACCCATAAAGAACACCCCAGAGAAACAGCTTAAAGAAACATGTCACCATTTCAGACATTTCAATCTATGAAAATCTGTTGCGACTATTTGGGCTCCAGGTGTGGCTCATGATGACAGGTACAAGTGGCAGATGTGGCTGTCCACCTCGTGGCAGACCAGAAGCAGATGGGATGTATGTTTGTGGGTTGAAATAATAAAACCACAACAATTAGGCAGTGTAGAGCTGCTAGGAGAAAAGGTGCATTTACTAAATAAAAACAGGATATGCAAACATTGACCTCAAGTAATACATTGCCATCTGTGATATTTTTGAAGGATCAATGTAAAATACTTTTTTTTTAAAAATAGCAATGGAAATATCTAGACAGCTCCTTCATTTTTCTCTACCTTAGGAGGGGCAAATGTGCTCTCTTGCATATTATATATGTTGCTACTGGCATAAATGGCAGAACAAAATTTGTCCCTTTGAAAATGAATAAAGTACTTAACGAACTCTAATGTTTTAAACAGTGGTTCTCAGTCTCAGGGTAGCATATCTACAATGCATTGATTATTTGTACATTGACAAATACCAGCTGAAAAATATTATCTTACAGATAAAAATAACCTAAGATTATTGATTTTAGTTCAGTTACAGGTTTGAATGTAACCATTGAATAGTATGTGCCCTTCAATGACTTGACTGAGATGCTATCTATCTAAAGTATACACACACACACACACACACACACAAATTCCAAATCCCCTAAACACCTAATAAAAACCAGACATCTTCTGTCAAAGTGCTTATAAGGATTTCTTATGGTAAATTCATTCTGATGGCTATTTTACAAGTTAAGTGCTTCTTTTATAGATACAATAAGAATTGTGAGTTTGTTGTGTGTGTATCGACGCACACACACACACACATACACACACACACAGAAAAACTCATAGTTTGTTAACTATTTGTTTCTTTATAGATCCTGGTTTGTTCATTGCAATGATGCTAACTTTTAGACCTTACTTAATATACTGATAGTACAGAATCATTAAACATATAGAGAGAGATGGAAGCAAAACAATTTTGAAAATTTGGTTTTGAATTTGAGCACATTTTTCTCTTAACTAGAATTATTTCAGAACAACAATGGAATTCAGGCCAACAGAATTTAATTTAATTATTTTAAAGGAAAGATAAAGATGTGAATTCAATTACACAGAATATTCAGAAGTTAAGAATAAAAAAAAAAACTAGTGGCTGTTGAGCACAAGGCACGCTGTGGTACATTTCTTCATTATTTGATGGAAAGTTAAGAAAGGTTTTTAGAACACTTGTGCAAATTCATAGGATTAGTCTGCACATGGAAAGCCCGTGGTCTCTTTTCAAGAAAACAATTCATTTAAAACACAGATAAAAGAAAGCTTAGGACACAGTGGTAGACAAAAGGCTTAAACATGAAAGAAGTAAAACAACAGGCTTGAGTAAGACTAAATGATTTTTTAAACTAAATTATTTCTTCTCATAGAAAAGAGCATATATTTTTTTAATCATAATAACCACACTGAAACTGGTAATTTCACCCATTTACTTGAGTCAACAAATATTATCCAGAATCTAAACTATGCCAGATGATGCAATATGGGTCATTGTACACACAGGTAAAAAGAATTTGCCTCTTTAGAGCCATTGCATGTTTCACATCAGGCTAGACATGTGACATGTCAAACAGGACAACACACACCCCATCAATGGAATTGCCAGGCTGGGGTGGGAGAGTTCAAAAGGAGAAAACTCAAAGAAGACAACTCAGAGCACTCAGCAGAGTAACTGGATTCAGACAGGGGTGGCAACATCCCCTTCAGGTAAAGTGACATATTTAAGCCTACAATCTGATATTGTTGCTAAATCAATGTGTTTTCATCACAGAAAGTCTTTCACCTTGAACAGATTTCCTTTGCTTTTCGCCTTTCCTCTTTCTCTTTTTGGCAATGTCTTCAGGTTTTCTCTTTGAGTTCCCAGGAAAGTAACGATTATTCCTAAGTACGGAGTGAAAGGCTTAAGCCTTTCTAATGATAATGTTTACATCTCCAATCCGCTAATCATTTTAGACGTCTCAGACACTGTTGAAAATCTAGACGTCATGAATGAATAAAATCCCTTTAAATGATCATGGCCTCGGTAAATAGACATCCAGGCTCCGCCTCAAGGTAACCCTGCACGATCTGCTGGATTTTAGATTAGAGTCAGCTCGCAATCTCTCCTCTTCAAGTTGTAGTGGATTAATGTTTTACATCTGTCAAATACACTCTACACACACAGACTAAAATAAAAGGCACTTAAGGGGAGTCGAGGGAAAGTTGCTTCCTTCGGATTGAAACGCCTGATTGTTAGGCAGCCTGTGTCATCTTGTGCCAATTGAAACCCTAATGGGGGAGGATGAAAGGCAAAACTTTTCCCAAAATAAAATTTGTCCTCTTCCTCAGAGGGCTTTAATTCCACACTCAAACGGCAGAGTCCTCCTTCCTTGTGAAGACACCCCCAGTTATCATCCTCTGAATGTCAATGTGGACTCTTTTCTCCTCCTACCTTTCTTCTTTGACTTACGACCCCACTTCCCCTTGCTTTAAAAAACGATGCTCCAGCTCCCTTTAGTTGTGATCTCCTATGTGTTAGCCTTTACTCATGACTTTTAGCTAGAAAAGCTGGTTTATTTTTAGTCAGTTTTTTCCAGTAGTCAAACTAATATCCAGGGAGATGTTAAATAAGCGCAGTGGAAAATAAACTTTATTATGAAGGTTAACTCTTAAGTTGAAAAAGTAATCTGCTGTCCATATTGACATACATACAGAACATTCTACTTTTAAAACATTCTGCAATGAAATCCTATGTGGGGGGAAATGGGGAAGTGATGCAGTGCAGTCTCCACTAGGAATAATTAAGCTGTTGACTTCATCTTGGAGATGCCGCATCTCCTCCAGTGAGGTTACTGAGTGAAAAGATCCGATCCATCTCCAAGTCATACCTAATTCCAAGTATTCATGCCAACATAGTTCTAATCCACCTGGTCCAAGGGCGCAAAATGAACTAACAAATTTTCTTTATGTGGTTACCCTCTATTGCTAGTCAAATCAGCTTTACCAAATTTGATTTTGAGGCAGATTTCTTCCTTCTTCCCTCTTTTTTCCTCCATGCCCTTCTCTCTTTTTCTTTTCTTTAATTGAGGATTTATACAATTCCCATTTATCCCTAGTATTTCTTTGCTGACTTACTTTCTGAAAACTCTAACAAAATATGTGCACATCTGTGTAAATGTTATGAACAATCGTTTGAAAATACTGTGTGCATTGTTGATGGAGACATGAAATATATCACAATCATGTTGAACAACAAAACAATCTTCTATAAAACTTCAGGGGCATTATTTGTTAATCAGTGTAAATTATTTTAACCTACAAATCATGATTTATGTCAAATATATGCAGAATTATTTTTCAGTACGATGAGCCCAACCTTTTTTTCAGATAAAGACTACCTTATTGTTTACCGATGAATTTAACATGACAGGTATTTTAAGTTTAGGTTCATGTTGTAATTTACATCTTTTTTTTTTGCATAGAATAACTGTAAATAATAAATGATAAATGAAGAAATGATGCTCAAGTATCCAAAGAACTAAGGGGAATAAATCTGACCTACGAAAATCTGCCCCACTTCCGACCCACTCTCTACATCTTGTTACAGCTCTCATCTCTGCCTGCTGCCTGCGTGGGATCTGATGGGCAAGAGAAACAAATTCAAAAAGCCTGCAAGGAGCCCAGTGGGGAATGATGAGGAATTGAAGGAAGAACACTAGGATGCAGGAGGTGAGAGACCTCACCCCACAGGATGTAGAAGTAGTCAGGACCCAAACCAACAGGCACACCTCACCTTAGTTGCTAGGTGTCAAAGGAGGTGGAAGAATGTGTTTAAGCCAGATGATGGGAGGCCTTCTGCTATTTGTAACAACTGATCTGTCTTTCCACAGAAATAACTGGATGAGAGGTTCATAAAGTGGAAAGGGAGGAGGAAGCAAGATGAGACGAAAAAGATTTACTTCATCAAGTGCAACCATATGTCTTGGTGACCTTTCAACCTCTGCTGAGATGTACAGCATGGGGGTTCAGAGAGTCTGTGGTATGCAGGCAGCATCTTAGAGGCCAGTGGCTTTCTTTTTACACTGTGCAAATACTGCCGCAGCACACTTATGATTGTGCTTCTTTCTGTTGTATCCATGTGACACTTTCTCCGATATTAAACATAGCCTGTACTTCCAAACTTAAATTACATATTAGCATATTTCCAGTTGATTTTTAACTTTCATAACATTTTTAGATAATATGGGGCCACTTCAAAATTACAACTCTGCCAATAATTTTACTGTTTGAATAAGGTTGTCATGTAATAACGATGGTCTTGCGCCATGAGAAAATGTTTTATCTATGCGTGCATTCATGAGACATGACTTCTGTCATGTAAAGAATCACAGGAAGCATTCACCACATGGGAGTATGGTCTGTACTTTGATATCAACTCAGAAAACCACCTTAATCTACAAACATGCTTAACAATGCAAAAACTCACAAACTGGGAAGTTTCTCCAATTTTTAGGTTCCCATTTCCTATCTCAGAGTGTGTATAGCTGTTGGAATATAGATAATGCACAAGTAAATATATTTAAGGGGGAATCTGATTTAATGTCAATCACTTTTTCACAATAGACGTTTATCTCCCTCAGATAAGTGAAAAAAATCAATAAAATATTCTGATAGGCAGTAAAAGTGGGTTATAGTCTTAGTATTACACCTTCATAGTTCCCCAAGACACTGCATCTCCTATTGATATAAGAACATGAAACGTTTATATGAATCTACACAGATAGAATATAACATAGATACACAGTGAATTGTACGGTCCCATTCAAGGTATTTGTGGAAATTTAGAACAGGCTTCTGAGTGCTTAGAGGTAAATCAAAGTGCATTTATCTAACTATCATTTTTTCGAATCGGACTGTGTCTCCTTGGACCCTGGAGGTCTGTGATGATAACCATTCTGCATTTTCTCTCTCTTTGCTTTTCTCATGCTCTGTGTCAACACTCAACTTGTCTCCACCTGTTCATTAAACCTTTCTTCCAACAGATGCTGCTTTTTCCTTCACTCTTTTATGTTCCCCGGGGAAGATCAAAGCGTTGAGTCATTCCTGTCCATTGTATGCAGGATGTGTGGGTGAGATTCTGCATGGAGCTTGCCTTCATGTTGCTTCTCTAATGTACTCAGTAACTTTCTTTGATAATGTTTGATATGTGTTGACTGCTTCAACTGAGAGAAAACAACTTAAATCCAGTGACTTTTATGAGAATAAGATTGAAATAATACTGAAATATTTAAGTTGTATCTATTCTGGAGAGCTGATAACTTAAGCTTTTTTAATATATAAGCAAGTACTATTGATGCTAGCAGCAGAAATTGATTTTATTTTAATTTTGAAAAATAAAATCATATGTACAATCTGTGGCTTATCAAAAATTGTGCCTTTGAATTCCTTGACACAGTAATTAGTGAGGGAGAAACAAGAAACGCACTATAAGGGAAAGGGCAGTGATTAACTGTTGAGGGAAATAAACTCCACCTCAGATTTAACAGGAAGCCACCAAAGATATGGAAAAATAGTGTAAATTTAAATTTTATAATTTTAAGATTTATTTTTACTATTTTTAACTATGCATGCGTATATGCGCACATGCTTGTGTATGTGAGTGCACTTGCCCAGAGAAGCCTGAGGTCCTGCGGAGCCCGACTTAGAGACAACTGTGAGCTGTTCCAAGTGATGCTGGGAACTGGATTCAGATCCTTTGCAAGAGCAGTACGTGTCTTAACCTCTGAGTCATCTCTCCAGACATAGTTGCGAAACTTAATTTAACAAATTTAGCAGCATTGTAGATCAAACTCTGGAATATATTTAAGGGGGAATGCATGCCAGGCAAGCACCGCACCATTAAGCTGTATCCCCAGTTATTACATTTTTCATATATTAAAATGAAGAATAGAGATTAGAGGAGGTGTGTAATAACTACTTTATAAATGTACTTTGAGCAAATTTGGAAGTCTCCATGATTTATCAGCAGGCACAAACTTACAGAAAAATAGTAGATGTTTTTAGATTCTAGAGACGCTGAGAGTATACAGTGTTGTCCCTCTTAGTTGATAAATTGATATTGTCCAGATAGAACTCATCTTCTGTCAATATATTTGAAAATACTTCCAATGTTTGGCTTGGGAGATTGTGAAACCGATCAGGTAATTAGGAAGAGCAAAGGTCATGTATGTGGCAAACATTGAACTTAATTCCCCCTGATATGATTTTACAATGGCAGGACATTACAATTTGTTGCTGATGTGCTCTATGGACAAGGGACTTCAGGCTGAGTTTGCCACCTGATAAAAATAGCAATATTTTGCCTACTGCTCACAAAGTCTGTACACACTCTATTGTCAGATAATAGTGTACCTTTCTGAAGGTAGTATCTGTTTCTTTATCTATGCCTAGGATATAAAGTAAGGTCTGCACGAAGTCAGAGATGAGTGTGCACATGGTTGCTAGTGCAAAGGTGGGGTGGTGACAAGGATGGGACGCGCTCAGGAAAGAGGGATTCCTTACTTCAGGTCTGACATTCGTCCCAGATTTAGGCCAGGGAAGGGCAATCAAACGTGGGGCACTAAGTATCCATCCTTTCTAGGTTAATCAATTTAAATATGAGGTAAGACAGCTACTCCGTGCCAACAAAATGTAAATCAGGAGGGAAAAAAAATGACTGGGATAAAAGCACTTAAAGGAGCTTGAACCCTGGCACACAGACAAAATCGTGTTTGCAGTACTCGAAAGAACAGCCAGCCAGCCTCTGCAGAGCTCCTAGCTAGTCTCAAGTGCAGCGACCAATTGAGAGCAGCCAGCCTTGAGATTCCTGCTCGGTAGGCTGCTTTCTTAGGTGCATCTGCACAGCGCCTGCTAGATAAGTGCTTTTATATCAAGAGGCAAACCTGAGGTTTGAAATGGTGACAAGACCAATTTTGTGTCATTTTAGTAGAAGCAAGAGTAGCCCAATGAATCAGTGGCAGACCTGTGAATTGATTTTCAGATCTCATTAGACTCCCTTTTAAGGAGCTCAGCAATTTCTGAGATTGCTTTCAGTGGCCAAGGATGCACAATTGAGTTAGAAGGGCAGATTGAAAAATAAAAATAAAATTAAAATGGAAAGTAGCCATTCTATGTGACTTGGTTTCTGACTGTTTCAAATGATAATATTTTCTTCCTACAATGTTTAGTTATCAAAGGTGAGTTTAGATAGTAGTACCAACTTCTGTATCCCTTAGAGTGCGAGGTATTCTAAATTATAAAGGTATAATAGCCAATTATGCAAATATAAGACTACTGAAATAAAAGTTGAAGGTCCGTGTCATTCCATTTATGAGGCAATGATTAAAGAATTATTCTTAACCTAAATAAATATTTTTACAAGTACAATGGTCCCAGTTGGAAAATTTTAGACTCATAACTAGAAAATCAAGTTAGAATACAAGGCAACTGCTTTTTTAAACATTATAATATTTTACCATATTTATTGACCTTAGTACCTAGGTAACACCAATTTGTATCTTGACAATAGAATGATGACTATGACTGAATATGAGTATCTACTGTTATTTAGTAATTTGGATGTCACATAAAAATTAGTATTATCTGTTTTAAGACATTTTTAAAACGTATGGCATTTTCCCAAGTATATATTGGTACAAAGATTTTTCTTTGAAATCTTGAAATTTTAAGTTTCACAATATTAGAATGCAACTATATGCTGAACTTATTATATGCTGAACTTATTTGAAGTGTTAAAGAGCTCATAAAGGTTTTTGTTTGGGATACACTGCCAACAATGTTACAGATTCTGATGTTTCTTTCGCTGGTATGTTGCACACATAGTCACATTGGAGAGTGTGTGAAGGAGGAAGGAAGGAAGGAAAAGTGGGTTTTGCTTATCTGCCTAATCCCTGTGGAGAGATTAAGTATCACCAGATGAAGCTGGTTCTGTGACTACCATCACACTTATTTTATAAAAACAATTCCCCCTGACTGTTTCACCTTTACCATCTAAGGGACTCAGGGAAGCTGTCACTGCCTAAACCGACAAACACTGCCAGTGTTTCAGATATTAGCCCTTCGTGGTGCTTCCAAGAATGTTCCAGTAATAATGTAAAATGCACTGTTTTGAAGTGACACACACTTTAATATTAATAAACACCTGGCATCGTTTTTCTTAGTGGTGTGCAGTGTTGATGCCATTGGAAAGGCCTCGTGCCACAATCGGGAGGAAAACAAACTCACTGTGTGAAGTTAGTTAACTTTTTGAATCCATTCCAAGCCTCTATTTCCTCAAAGGAAAAATGAAGAAATGTTTACATCTCAGGGTTATGAAAATCAAATATTTTAACGTTGGTAAAAGCCATTAAATATGTCATGAGAGAGACACTAACAATCATTTCAGAAAGTCAGTCTGACTAGAGGGAACCTGAGCAGAATAACTGGGAAGTAGTTATGGACAAAAATCTTTAAACATTCCAACAGAGAAACCCTGTCTCAGAAGAAATGCAACAAAACAAAACAAAACAAAAAAATCAAATACAAAGTAAAGCAAAGTTACAGATAGCACGACAGCAATTTTCATAGAAAATTCACCATTGGTAGTGATATATATTAAATATATTTTTCTGATAAGTATTTTTAGGGAACTTTTTAAATAGAACGAATTTGCATTGTGTTAAAATATGCATTACATCATATGCCTCTCTCTGGATTTCCAAGTATGCGTTACGCATTATTTTGTAATTCGCCAGGGTTAGGAATTCCTTACCTTCGTATGTAACAGCTTAATGTTTTAGACTAACACGCATGGCCTTTATCCATATACTATGGAGTTGAGAATGTGTATGTAGGAGGTCCTATGCTACAGAGTAGCTTTGCCTGGTCGCCACGAGAGAATGTGAAGGCCATCCTCCCGCCGGAAACCCTCAGCTCTGTCATCTTGGTTACACTTCACTGCTTTGTGGAAACTGAAGGATGTTTTGATTTCTTGTTCCCCTTGGAGAATCTTGAGAATCTCCAAGTTTCCTTCGTGTCCTTCCCCTGGTCTATTCGAGTCTCCTTCCGTTGGTACCAGACCTTTGTACAGTCTGAAAATGGATGTACG